GAAGTTCTCTATTTCAACATGAAAAATCACTGTTCCGCCGTCACCCAGAAGTCATGTTAGGATGTAGTATCAGGCCCTGAAGGATTCTCAGTCCTAGCTTGGACTCCTGTATCCACCGCTCCTCGGGCAGGCTCAGGATGTGGAGAGGACATGAGAGCCAGAGGGTGGGGAGGATCACCATGCAATGCTTCCTCCTGGCTGTGACATGCTGCTGCACTCGTGATTTCACAGCAGCTGTGGATGCCTGCATACACCCACACAAGATGAAGCTACCCTAGAGTCCAGCATGGATGGGGAGGGGCTCACAAGGCCCTAGCTAAGGAGCCATTGGCAGCTGATGGCTGCTAGAGGAGGAAGAGTCGCTTTTCCTTGGGGATGTGGCCATTGGCAGGTTGTCCATGTTACGGGGAGTGGCCCCCCAACCTGTGTGCATGTGGGCAGAACAAACTGGACTGGAAAGGACCTGAAGTTTGGAGGGGGTGTGTCGGGAGGCTATCTGGAGGGAGCTGCTGAAAGGGAGTGAGGTAGATGATGAAAATATAATGTGTGCATATATGAAATTTTCAAATAATAGATTATATACAGATATATTATGGTGATTGTAAGAATATAAAAGTACTTCGTTATGAGACATCAAAAGGAAAACTCATGGGTCCCTGAAGGGTAGGACACTGGGTCTCTTCCTCTTCCTCCCCCTTTTTCATGTCACAGCTGCAAGGTGAATAGCTTTGCTTCAGCATACACACCCCACCATGATATGATTCACCTCAGCCCCAGAAGATATGGGGCTGCCCCATGATAGTTTATAAAACTTCCCAAAGTGCAAACCAAAGCAAACCTCTTTAGTTTTTAAGTTGATCAGAGCAGGTCTTTTGTCACAGTGACAGAAAGCTGACCGGTACAATGCTTATGCGTTAACCCTGCGGTTACCATGGGGATGACTTCTTACTCTTGCCGTGGCCCCCAGACACGTTCTGCCTTTCCTGAGTTACTTCATCAGTCCTCTTGCCTTTTCTCTTTCTGTGTCTTTGATCACAACCCCCCCCCCCTTCCCCATATATATATCCTGTTCTCTCTTTGGAGACACTTTGATGGTGCCCCACACTATCTTGAATGAAATCCAAATTCCTCAGCCTGGCGTTAGCAATCTCTTCACATTTGGCTTCTCTCCACCTTCCTCGCCCAAAGCACAAGGCCAGTCCATTCCTCACCGCCTCCAGACTGTTGGCACCATCCCCCAGGTCAAATGCAAGCTACACCCCAAGATGAATACCCTCCCAACAAGGATTCTGGGAATCCCTTCAGAATCAGTGATGTCGTAGTTAAGAGGCAGAGCTCTGGTGCCCCAAGATGCTCCAATCTCCAGATCCCGTGACCCTGCTGCTGTACATGGCATGAGGGTATAGGTGGCCTTGAGAAGCTGGAAGGCAGGAAACTGATTCCCTGGAAGTTAGAGCAGAGCTCTACAGACGCAGTGACCTTAGCCTGGTAGGAACTGATGGGGGAATTACGGTGATAGTTTATTTGTACTGAAATGTGATTTTATTTGTATGTTAATAAATAAAGTTGCCTGGGGGTCAGAGCTAATAGCAAGCCATAGCAGAAGCTGGGCGGTGGTGGTGCACACCTTTAATCCCAGCTCTTGGGAGGCAGAGCCAGACGGATCTCTGTGAGTTCGCGGATACAGCCAGCATGGAGACACACGCCTTTAATCTCAATACCAACCATAGAAGACCTGGAGGTCTGTACAGACAGGCAGTGACGAGGTGGTCATGTGGTTGGGTTTACAACCAATGAGAAGGCAGAACAGAAAGTCAATAAAAAGGACAGACACACAGGAAGTAGGCCTCTTGCAGAGAGGAAGGACAGCAGCGGCAGTGAAGGATAAGGTTTTTAGCTCTCAGCTACTGCTCTGACCTCTTGGGATATTAACTCTGCATTTGGCTCTGTGTTTCTTATTGAATAAGACGGTTACATCTACAGGGACTCATGCCCTCCAGAACACCAGAGAACCGTTTTGTGTTGTTCAAAGCCACTGACTTTGTGTTAATTTGTTACAGCACCCACATCTTCTCTGAGGCTCTCCCTAGTCGGTCCTCATGGCTAAAATGAATGTCACGGCTAGAGCAGGGAGGTAGGGGGGCGGGTACAGAAGGGAGATGACCAAGAGGGCTTGCAGCTGGGTGTGAAATGGCCAAGCTGGCCGGGTAAGAGGATGGACAGGAACCCACTGAAACAAGTTGTCTGTCTCTAGCGACGCCCACCCCTGCCGCACACACACCACCAGCTCCACACGGCACCTTGCCCTCTCCCATAACTTCTCAGTTTTATGAATAGTTACACTTTTTGAAACATGGCTTCTTTATTTTGTTTTATGTGTTTGGGTATTTTGCCTGCACACACTGATAATACGTGCACCGCATGCTTGCCAGGTGCCATGGGTCCCCTGGAACTGGAATTGCAGACAGTTGTGAGCTGCCATGTGGGTGCTGGGAATTGAACCTGGGACCTCTAGAGAAGCAGCAGTGCTCTGAACCACTGAGCCACCTCTCCAGCCCTGGGACAGTTACATTTTTTTTTTTTAAATATATCCTCGCACCTAACTGTAACAGACATTCTGAACTGTGGGTAAGGACGGGTTGGCTCTTAAGAAAGCTTCTGCCTATTCCCTGAAGGGGAGGAGAAAGAGCTCACACACCAAGACTAGGAAGTCCAGATGTGTCTCAGTGCGCTCTCACTGTGGGGAGTGGGCTCAGCTGTTGTTTACCCAGTGGCTGAGCATCCCCCTTGATGGCCTGCTCCATCTACCTGTGTCCCAGGGTGAATCCCTCAGCAGTCCAGGAATTAAGATTACCAGTGTAATTAGGGGATCCATGAGGCGGGGCAGCCCCCATTCATAACCACTCTGACCCACCTCAGCCCCCATTCATAACCACTGTGACACACCTCAGCCCCCATTCATAATCACTCTGACCCACCTCAGCCCCCATTCATAACCACTCTGACCCACCTCAGCCCCCATTCATAACCACTCTGACCCACCTCAGCCCCCATTCATAACCACTCTGACCCACCTCAGCCCCTCCTGCCTTTCCAGACTCACTGCCATTCAGCACTGTCCCAGTCACCCCATGTCAACCGTAGCTCCCTGCCCACAGACAGTGCTTCTCAAGCACGAGGCCCTGGGATTTTGTCTTTATAACTTCCGGGTTATATCCCATGCAGCCCTCAACAGTACTAGTCACAAAATAGATGTTTTTAAAAAATGACTCTTAGTGAGATTGTATTGATTAGGGAGATTAGGGACAATGTCTGTGTCTCTTCAAATCCCTCTGCTGATATCTTAATCAAACTGTGCTAGAGTTTAGAAGTGGGACGTTGGGAGGTGATTAGGTCAGGAGGGTGGGACCTTCATGAACTGGATCACTCACAAGCAAGAGGTCAGAGAAGGTCACCACCCAAGGTCAGGAAGGGGAGCCTGCTGCTTGCACCTAGGCACAGAGCCCTGGCCAGCACCACCCAGAACCATGAGAAATCAGTGTGTTTAAACTGCTCAGTTTAGAGTAATTTGCTTTAGCAAACTGGGCATGCACAATCAAAGTGCTCTCATGATGTCTTGGCCAACTAAAGCAAGGCTCAACTCAGTGTCACCGATGAGCTGTTAATAGTTCTGACGTCCCGATTCTAAGAGTTGGAAGAATACCACAGAAGCACATTGCAGGAAATTCATCACTGACCACCTATGCATCCTTTAGAATTGTACCTCAAGAAGCACAGCTCGACAGTGAGCACAGCTGGGCAGTGTGGTCTTCTGAGACAGGGCCAGGTCTGTCTTAGCTGAGTATAATGTATGCTGGACACTCAACAGTGAGACCAATGGTGGGTTAAGGGTTGTCCAGAACACCACACACAAAAAACAGTTGTAGCTCCCAGATACAAGCGGGTCCATTGAAACACATCTATTTTATACCATACTCACTCTTTCTTCCTGTTGGATAACGTTGTTATAATCAGTAGATTTTCCAAAGGTGACCACATCACCACTGCGGAAGAACAGACAACAGAGAAATCACATGACTAAGAGACCTCTCTCCCAACACAAGAACGGAATTTCTTCTGCAGCAAGTTTATCTGTTTAAGGTATAAGTCTTTATCAAAAAACCCCATCCTCCAAGGTCCTATCCACAATATGGTGATTGTCATGTGCTTGGGATTTTTTTTTTAAATCTATTTCTGTATCTGGGACAACCTTGCATTTTAATTTTAAAATTTTTATTCCCTTCAGAAGCAAGGGTATGATACCATCAAGGTTACAACTTCACTCCTGTGGGAAAGGAAAAAACCCACTGTGAAAAAGCGATCTTTACTGCTTTCTGATTCGGGTGCTTTACATTGGCAACCCAGATAGGATAATGTCACCAGGTGATGGAGGTGACAGAGCACTGTCACAGAACAAGGGAATTGGGGGTTGGTAGTAGACTGTAAGCTTCACTTTGCCATGTTCCCTGAGCTGTGTGTTTAAGAGACATACAGCAGATCATAGATATAGTCCTATTGAGTGGCGTGGTATGTTTTCCCTTTAGTTATGGGCATAAGACAAAGTAGGGTACAGGGCCTCCTGCTTGCCCCAGGAAATGTGCCTTCTCTAGGTGTGAGAGAGGAGAGCATCTTCCTCCCTGTCTGCCCAGGGCTGTGGCTGAGCTGAGGGGCAGGCATGGCTCGGGAGCTTTGTCTACCCAAGTCATCCTCCTCCTCTTTGCCTCAGAGTGCAAGGCTCTCTCCCCTCAAAGCAGGGAGCCATCGTCAGGTGGACACTCAGGGACTGGGCCAGCAATGGCTTTCACTGCATCCAAGAAGACTCCATCCCTGCCCAGCCTCCCAAAAAACCCTGAGGGCTCTCTTCTAAAGGTTTGTGTCATGGTGTCGTTCTGTTCTCCTGTCTGAGTCATGAAAACCTGGACAGAGTATTTGATATGTATCTGACAATGTTTCCACACAGTACTCTATTCTCTCCCCAAATACGGTGGACAGACTGAAAGCCTGGACACCAGCCCTTCAGGGAGGCACACACCCTTCATTCTTTAGCGAGAATTGTTATCAAAACATCGATTTTACTTTGGACATTCCAGATGGTTCATGGGATATAGGTTCCGTTCAACCCAGAGATACAGATGGAGGAACTCTGCACATAAGTAGCTTGCAAATGCTAGAAAATGGAGAATTTGAAGAGTTTTAGGAGTTCCATTTTGGAGATGTATTGTGGACTGAGCTGTGTCCCTGCTTCATATACTGGAGTGTTAGCCTCTAATGTAGCTATATCTGGAGATAGACGTGTGTGTGTGTGTGTGTGTGTGTGTGTGTGTGTGTGTGTGTGTGT